TCAGCAAAAAAGGCCCATCCCCCCATAAGACTGCATGATCCAAACATGGACATACCCGAGCTCAAGCCGCAGTCTAGAAACTTTTTCGGCTTTCCTCGGACAAGCACTCGCAACATGAAAAATCCTTGCATCCTAGGCGCCAAGCGGGCTTCCCAGCATCGCCCCAGCTTACGCGGCGACACCAGCGGCCCGCCGTCGCTCAGGTTTCGTTGGTGCTGGTGTTGATTTGGGACTCGGGAGATCGATCCCCTCGGAGATGGGTTCAGCGACATAGGCGTGCTGTACGGCGAACTGCAACTATGATCAGTAGCAATGGGCGATAAACCGCCCGGCGAGAGGCCGCCTGGCGACAGATGGCCATGCGAGGTGAGGCTGGAGAACATGCTGTCGCCCGTGACCAGTGACAACCCCGAGTTGAAGGAACCCGTGCGTCCTGTGGATGAGACGGACGATACCGAGCCTTGAGGAATGGTGCTGAGGCGTGGGGTAGGCGAGCCTCGTGAAGGCATGTCCCTCCGGCGCAAGAGGTCGCTCTGGCTCAGAGCACCACTCATCTTCGAGTCATCGCCGAGGGGTGATGAAGCCCTTCGCTTGGTGCCGGACATCTGGTGTTCCATCGAGTCGAAGCGCGTCGGATCTTCGATGCGGAGCCTCTTCAACGACGAGGTTTCCGAAATCTCCATGTCTTCAGCCTCATGGCTTCCTTGTGTCGACGCATCATCGCTGTTGATTCTGCGCGATCTGTGGGGGCGGCGATCGCTTCGGTATCCAGATGGTTTCCGGTTTATGGACCGAAAGGGCTGGGTTCCTTGGTGAGACTGTCGAGACATTTGGCGTTTGTGTGAAGCGGTCGGGGAGAATCGAGCATGCTCGATTTTGATGTGGAAATGGTAAGTTGGATGTGTTTGGGAATGATAGTGCCTGGAAGCCTGTCCCTCTCGGTGGTGCCTTGACGGTGAGAAGGAACTTGTGAATTTGACGCGCTGATTATTTAATCTTTCCAGGGTGGGG